ACTAAGAATTTCCTTGGGCTCCTAATTCTGGTTCTTCAGTGGTGCTTTCTGATGTGCAGTTCCTTGAGAGTTGGAATTATTTTTACTGTCAACAGACCCCACCTTCCAACCATGAATTCTGGGCTGTTCTTCCATTTTTTCCTCCTGCTGTCCTTAGCAGGGAGGGTTACAGGGTTAGAGGCTGTTTCCCCTAATATATGGATACAAATAGCTTCTGCTATACAGCAGAGACAGAACTTCACTAGTAAGTAGGTATGTGCTACATTAGGACTTATGCCCCAAAACCTTAAGGGCAGATACATAGACACCACCTCCCTGGCTCATACACATACCACCCAAAAGCCCCTAAATTACCCTAATCCAGTACATCTGGTACAGTTTTCAGCCCCTCTCTGTTTATTATCCAAATAGACGCAATGATCTGGGGAACCAATCTCGCAGGGACTAGGTTCCCCTTTCCTTAAAATCCATAATGTCCAATACAATGGTATCTTAGTTCATAAACTTAATTCTTCCCATGATCCTGGTTGCAAATTGAATTGGATGAGAATCAAATCAAATTCAATGGTTAGGTTCAGTGTTGACCTTACATTAAGTTTGATTTGGTTCTCGTCCAATTCAGTTTGCAACCAGAATCTTGGAAAGAATTAAGTTCAAGAGCCAAGGTACTACTGTAATGGAGATGATTATTTCACCTTCCTTGAGATCCTGTCACCCCAGTATCTATGTGTCCTACAGGTAAATTCACTGTGTAATAGACTGAAGTGCCTGACAGTTGTCCTCGTCAAAGCTAATCCTGACCGGTATGATGGATCAAGATGGTATAACTGTTCTTGCCACCTACCACCAGAGTGTGGCTTGATCTTAATGATCAAGCCCACCAACAATGGATACATTGGGATCCCCGCTGTCAGAGCCCCTGCCTCACTGGGCTTTTTTGCATGATAAATCTCTTCAGCCCCTTGTCTGGCAGCAGTAGGTTTGGCGTGACCCAGGCACGCCAAACCCCAACTCCACCAGTAATGAAACCCAGAGTCCCGGACTCCCTTGCCTAGAAGGGGTTCTAATGTTCATGTTTCTCTGTACCTTATGGCTTCACCCTGGTTACATGCCACCTGTTGTTATAACTACACTCACATGTGGGGGATCGGGAGGGTAAGATATGTTCTACTGTGTAAAAGTGATCTGGCTGTCTGTAACCCCCAACAGAATCACACCACCCTCCAAAAATAGGGGGACATCAAAAGAGTGTGGTGGCTGTAATGGTGGCAGAGGTGGTAACCTTCATGGGCTCTCTGGTTGCCCTGGCAGGGGAAATAATTTATAACACTGTCACCATGGCCAGTGTGTTCACTATGATGGGAGATATAGCTGATCAAACAGGGGCAAGCTTGCAAGACCTCACTACTTTTCTAGATTCTCTGGCCTATATGGTTGTAGCCCACTGGGCAGTGTTAGATCTAATGCTGGCTAGAGACAGAGGCAGGGTTTGTACAGTAGCTAATCACTCTTGTTGCTTCTGGATTAATAGAAAAGGCCAGGTAGAGATAAGGACCCACAACAGCATTAACCAGGCTACTTGGCTTTGGGATTTTTTCCATCCAGAACCACAATACCTGTTGTTATAGTCAGAGTTGACAAGGGAACAGATTTAATACAGGACACATAATTTGTAGGATTAGTTTATAATATTAACCCAAGAGTCAAATGTACAAGAGTGAGGGAGATCTGTCCACTCACTAGAGACCCAAAGAATCCAGCAGAGGGCCTGGATCCCACAGCAACGACCTGCAGAAGTCTAGTTGAAGACCTAGAGCCCATGGCAATGTCCTCCACAAGCCCAACTGGAGGCCTAGAGTCCACGACAATATCTCACACAAGTCTGTGTCAAGGACCTGCACTGGGAAGGCCCAAAGGTAAATGGTGGAAGCTAAAAAGTCCACACTGGTGTGATGAAGGATCTGTGCTACTAGCTGAAAGAGCTGCACCAGAGCCAGGACATGATGCTCAAGGTAAGGAACAGAACTCCCCCAAAGAGAACCATAGCCATCCTCAGCAACGGCAAGGAACCAGGTTCCTCCAACAATGAGAACTGAGTTCATATCAGGAAAACCAGCATGACAAGCTTCTCCAAGACAATCAACAGCACACCATCTTCCCCTCCAGTTCTCTTTTCATGCTGTTGGCAACAACCCTCAGGTGGGCCTCCCACACCCAGCACCACACAGACTCAGTTCAGCTGTGTGTTACAAGTTGACCAGTAGTTAATGCACCACACCTGTGGAGTGGCCTCATGCAAGTATGGGCTTCCCCGTCCTGGCTGTTGCTATTCTGGGACGCCTTTGTTTCCACTTATTCTCTTTCCTGGGACCCTGCCTCCTTAATCTCTTTGTTCATTTTGCGTTTTCCTACCTAACAACTGTAAATCTGCAGATGATCTTGAAAACTGAGGGCTACTAGGTGGTGCCAATAAAAGGATACTTCAGGGGACCCCTGGACTGACTATCCACTGACAGCAAGTTTAACTCCTACCCTGAAGCACCCCCTCTCAGCCAGAAGTAGCACTTGACTTCCACACCCCATTCCCTGAAGAACCAGGAACAACTATTTGAGGGAGAAATGTAGGCAAACTAGTATGAAAGGTGGGGGGACCTTGAGGATAGTAAAGCAGAGTGGAATTTTCCAACCTGGAAACAGAAACTTTCCCCTTCATTCATTTATATGGAAAAGGAGTACATGGAGTACCCTAAAAGGGAGAGGGCAGGAAATGCCTAAGGGTAGGAAGCCAGGGAAAAAAGACCACTAGAGGCAAAGAAATCTGATGTTTTTTGAGATCTTGAGAGTGACCCAGCTGTCCCTCTCTCTCTCTCTGGGCCAGTGATAGGGAACCTTTTAGAAACTGAGTGCCCAAACTGCAACCCCAAACCCACTTATTCATTGCAAAGTGCCAACACTGCAATTAAACCTGAATCACTACTGACTGGCCATGCAAAAGCTCCTTGGCGCTGGCTGATGAGTTGCTACTGATGACATCACCTGGTGCTGTTACTCCTTTCCAAGCATGTGCATGACCTTCTGTGAGCTGTTACCCAGTGCTCAGCTCTAGGGGCAATTCAGGGGCTACTTAAGCCAGGACAGCTACTTACCTGACCACAAAGAGGGCTCTGTAGGGCTGCGGCAGCATGGGTGCCCTAGGTTCGCCACCCTGCTCTGGGCATATTTCCTGTTCTGCAATAAACTCTATTTTCTCTGAAACTAAGAATGTTGTGTGTGGCCTCTCACTATTCAAGCTGGGCAGGCCAAGTGAAATCTACTCAGGCTGCCAAGCAGGAAAATTTGAGTTACATTGTGAGAATTAAATAGTCAGTATGTAGAGTCCCTAGAATAGGGCCTATTCTGATAAACACCTGGTAAACTTTAGTTAATATTATTTAGGATGTATCTGAATATAATTATCTTAGTATTTAAACACCTAAATGAACAAGTTACAAGTTTTTAAACTTTTGCATATCCTCAAAAGAGATGCACTCTAGAACATAAATTAGAGATTTGCTGACAATAAATATCCCAATGTATTCTTGGCTTGAACAGGTTCTAACTGATTTTATAAGCACATAAAATGTCCTGCTAATACAAGTTCTCAGAAATGTCCATTCATTTTTAAATAATTTTAATTCAAACTATGAGGTCAAAATTTTTTCTAGTAATTTTAAAAGAAATATTCTTGTCTGGTAACATGGGAATGAACAATTTTCTATTAACATTGAATTTTTTGATATAGTCCTTAAGAAGTTGCCTTTACTGTGTAGTTTCACTGTGTATTGTACATTGTGTTTGTGTTTTTTGGTACTAGATTTGAATCCAGAGCCTCACCACAGACTTTAACCACTGACTTATACCACCATAAGTTTGTTGTTTAGAAATCCAACCTAAACTTGAACACTTTGCAAGGTATGGTGGTACATGCCTATAGTCCCAATTACTTAGAAAGCTGAGGTCAGAGAATCACTTTGAAATCCTGAGTTTGAGACCAGTTTGGGAAACAGTGAGAGCACCCCGCAACTTCAAAAAGAAAGAAACAAAGACAGAGAGATGAAGAGATGATAGATGAGGGACACAGACAGAGAGAAAAAGAGAGAGAAAGAGAGATCTGAACTCCAAGGAGATAATTTTAACCAATGACATTACACTCTATTTTCAGTTTAAAGAGTTAAAGTGATATTTTGCATTAAAAATCGCAATTACTAAAAACGTTCAATAGCTGTATCTTGAACAGAAAGACAGTTAAAACAATATTGCCTTAAGTTTTTCTGATTACTCATCTCTTCTAGAAAGCTAAAGCTTCAAGAAATAACAAGTCTATCATATCTGAGAGCATGCTGCTAAATTTAAAAAAATTTTACTTTATGTTCATCTCATAAAGCAAAGCATTTAAAAATTTTTGCATGTAATCACCTTTCCAGTACCAACATTATAATGGATTATTTAGGGATTTATTTATTTATTTTGCTTTTTCAGGGCAAGCTGATGTGTGTCCATTTGGTCAGAAGCATGTTTCAAAAATAAGCCTCTTCCGTTAGCACAGCACCTTTCTGTTAAAGCTTCCCTTTGCCCCATGCACAGTTATTTGCTCTAAAACCCCTGTACTATATTGAAATTTCCTCACAGACCTTGATATTGCCACCTTTCATTACAGACACCTGTCTTCCATGTTAGACTGTGAGCTCCTTAAGGGGAAGTCACTTAACCACATACGTGTATCACAGTCTGCTTTGGATGTAGTAAATGTGAAATAAAAGTAGAGTGAAAGATAAATAAGTAAATAAATAAATAAATGGTTTTCTCAGGGTCATGCAGTTGGCAATTAGTAGAGCTAATTCTAGGCCTTCCCAGCTCCCTTTATATCACAATGCTGCCTTGCAGAAAGCAATGTCACAATGACTCGAAGGGGAACTTCTAGGGTGGGGCTGTTACTTAGCAGCCAGTCTTCTATTTGTTTTTCTTGGTTAAAGTCCACGTAGGAGAGTGTTGACTCATGGAGACAATTTATGAGAAACCTATTGAAAATTCGTATGATGAACTGTTCAAGTCCAGAACTCCTAGGAAATTCACGAAGTCTGAGCCATATGATCTACCACAACTTAATACCACACAGTGGAACCGCCAGCCATTCCTTTGGGACTTTGCTCTTGGTAATTGTGTTCTTGCTCTAGTACATATATGAAAACTCACCCAAATTTGAAGTCTAACAGGAAAGAGGTGGGGTATACACAGGATTACGTGAGAAGCCTGATCCTAGGTTGGCTGGGGGAGAGCTATACTCACCGTTACAAGCCTTGGCAAAGAGTAGCAGCTACTTGCAATAAAGGAGCACCTTTCTTTTTTTATTTGTATGACCCTTAGAGATGGCTATAGCCCTGGGCATGGAGGTGGTAGATTAGCCATGCATTAACATTTGTGAAATGTCAATTCTGGGTTAGTTTCTGTGAAAAATTTGTCCCTGTGTTAATGCTTAAATTCTCATAGCATCCCTAGGAGGAAAAAGCTCTTTAGTGCCACTTGATAGACAAACCAAGACATAGGTAATTTAAGTAATGTCAATACTTATTGAAAACCAATGTTTACTGAAAACCATGTTCACCCTTCTACCCCAGATGGGAGTATCTAATGTGTAAGAAAGTCTAGAAAGTGGGATTCAACAAATCTCTTTCCCTCCTATCTCCTTTACTAAGCGCAACTATTCTCTAGATTTTTAGGACTTTTATTCCCTGGATCAGAGGTTCTCAACCTTATTGAGACCCAAGCCTTGCTCTAAGTAACAAATTATTTTATAATACCTCATTTAAATTAAATTCACAGGTAACCTGACCTGCATAATTTCATAAATGACTCAGTATAATGTCATAAGTGTAATATAAAGGAGAAAAGTAATTTTTAATGAAATACTATATAATCAGTATACAAATTATCAGATATAACTACTTTAGAAGACAATGAAGTAACCAGACTCTTGCATTATATTGTATAATGAATAAGGAGAAGGAGGTCAGAAGTCACTTCACACAAGCAGTTTGAGAAAATAAAAAGTCAGATTTACAGTTGGACACCAGAACAAAAACTAGCGCTACAATTAGTAACACTTTCGACTTAATAGCTTCTAACGATAGAAAAACTTAAAGATAATACTGTACCTAGATAAATTATGGTACACTGAAGTCAAAAAAGGGGGATGTGAATATCTTAGTCTTGCAAAGTAAGTAAACTACGTTCATTTGCAAGGCTTGCCAGATTTTTAAAAAATAAATTATTATATTGGTCTGTAATACATATCCAAATGGGTCCAAGTCATAACAGAGCAGATTGGTGAAGTACGTCAGGCAAACTCACTGGTATACATGGCCCAGTACAGGAAATGGAACATTAACATTATTCCAAAAGCTGTCCCAGTCTACCCCAAAGTCTGCTCTACAAAAGTCTCCTTATTCTGACTTCTAGCCCGTAGGTTAGTTTGACTTACTTTTTAAATTTTATACGGACTCTAGCGTACACTGTTTCTATCTCTCTTCCTTCATATATGCTTTTTCTGACCTAATGCCCCAGCCTAAGAATTCCAGTGTAACTCTCCAGAGATATTCTCCTGTTTTGCACTCATACAGTTCTGCCAATCTGAAAATCAACATCAATGCAACACTACCATTAAATGCACGCAACTTCTTCAATTGTGCCAACTCTCCCCAGTGTATTTTTCCTATACCACCTAGCATCCTACCTAGGAATTCCTATTGCGTTTTTATTATCATCTTCATTAATACTATTCAATCCAGAATACTTTCTCTGCCCTGTTTTCTCCTTCATATCCTTGGCCTTCTTAAAGAGCTTCCTGCAGAAGAATCTTTGACCCGGTTCATTTCAGATTGTTGGGACCGGAGAAATAAGTCCAAAATCCAGGATTTTGTGGATGTCAACTGATTAGGGACTTTAGTTACATTTCCAAAATGCTTTCACCGTAAAACCTAGATCAATGTTTGATTAAATAATGGAAGACTATAGCATAGCTAGGTGGGCACATCAGAAAAGCTACCTCAGAAAATGTTTCTGTATTACTCCTTGGGAAATATTTACTCATCAATCTTGGCATCTACACATAACTTCTGCCTGTGCCAGCTACCACTCTGATAGCTGCCAAATGGTTAGTGTGTTACTCAATTCTTTTCCTTCTTATTTTTTTAATGTATATCAGTATGGACTTGTGTCCATTTTATTCAGTGGATTTTAAGTATGGTGATGGTATTTTTATCCTGAATTCAATCTCAGGAGAAAATTCTTTAGCTTTTCATCATTAAATGTATTTTATATAGGTTTTCCATAGGTAATGTTTATCAAATTAAGGAAGATATTCCTAGTTCACTGAGATTTACTTTTTAAATTATGTGTGGCTATCATGTGTGATACTAATTTTCTTATTCATTTAAATAAGCACTTTTTCTTTTATTAATATAGGAAGTTACATTGATTTTATTTTCAAATGTTATATCAACATTGAACTGGTAGAGTAAATACAACTTTATCATGAAATGAAAACTTTTTGGTTTGCTTAACTTTGTGTAGGCTGTTTATGCTTATGTTTCTTAAAAAGATTTTTTTTTTCTTGTGATAGCCACTCTACTGTCATTATGGCTTTATTAGTCTTATAGAATAAATTGGCTAATGTCCTTTTGTTTTTTTAAAAAAAATAGTTTGTATGTGGTTGATGTTATTTCTTCTATAAATAATTTAGAATTCTCCAGTTAAGCCATTTAAGTTTATCATTTTCTTTGTTAAAAGTCTTAAAGTATTAATTCTGTTTTTAGTTTTGACATTCTTTTTATGTTTTTTAGACAGGGTCTATGTTTTTCAGGCTGGCCTTGAACTTATTATGTAGCCCAAAATAGCTTCAAATTACCATCAGTTGTATTATAATCATATTTTGAGTAGACAGAATACTTCTAGTAAATTACACAGCAACTTTATGACCCCACCTTTAGTCCATTTAAACTTGGCTTTTCATAACATTCTAGCTGTCTGCATTGTCTCTTATAAAGTTTTTTTCAGGGCTAACATATACACATTCTAGCAATTATTTTCACAGAATCCAGCAGAAAGGACATTTGAATGTTATGTAATAACTCATTATGTGACTAGGCAGGGCCCTGAAGGATGTTTAGCTCCCCTAGCTTGTTGACCAGGAGCATCATCTTAATAAACTTTTAAACAAAAATACCTTCCCCTGGCCACAAGAAAGGATTCTGAATATTTTTACCACAAAGAGATGATAAGCTTGAGGAAATAGATATGCTTACCCCGATTTGAATTTTACACAACTGAAACATCATATGGTAACCTATAAGAATATTCAATTACTATGTGCCAATTAAAAATTATTTTTAATACAAAAGAATGCTTCCATAAATTTCCCAAATATCTTCAAGGTCTTATTATCACCTTTTTGGGAAATCCTCCATTAGATCTATAAGACCATCCCTGAAGACAGCCCTCACCCACAGTGTGTGGGGATCATCACTAAAGGAGTCAAAGAGCACTGCGGACCAGTTACACTGTGTTCTGTTACCTCCCACCTCTGGACAACTTCTACAATCTAAGGCCGCCCTAAAATCTAAATTAAACAAGTTGGTGTTAGCATCCAGGATACAGTAAAGAAGTCAACAACAAACACCTGCCATGTTTCCTTCCGTTAGGATGAGTGTGCTCACAAAAGGGCTGCATGTCCCCTTTAGTGATAATAACCCCTTGTACAGTCAACTACACCAGGAACTGCTTATTATTATCTTAGTCCTCTCAACAACCCTATAAAGAAATTATTGCCAATTCGGAGATAAGGAAACCAGCGTTTAGAAAGTAAAGGGTTGTTCAAGAGTCTAAAAAAAATATCACGCACTTCTATAATTCCATTGCACTTCTACTGTTTCACGTCAAGCCATCAGTATTTTTAAAACCTATGCAGGGCCTCCTGCCCCTCCTCCGTCCCTGCCCCCTTGAGGTACAAGGGAGCAACCTGATTGGAAAGATTTGAGGAACAGAAGTGGGTCCAACAGGGATCTAATACGGAGCTAGGATCAGCCCAGGGAAGCCTCTCACGCCCTGGCGCTGGGCGTTGCCCAGGCGCCCACCCTCCTAGGTCAGCAGCGCGGCAGCTTTTTGCTGTTTCCCGGATCCATGTTGCCCGGACTTCAGGGCACTCTGAACCGCACTGTCCCTGCCCTTACAACAGTGCCATTTCCAAAGTCCTTCCCCACTCCTTCCCCACATAGCCCTTCCAGCCGCGGGTCTGGCAGACTCCGTACCCCTACTCTAGCTGCAGAGCTCACAATCAGCTCCTAGGTTCGCGGGTCCAAATTGCTCCCCCTGCAGGGGCTCTAGCCCCCGCCCCCCACCTGTAGCTGCGCAGGCGCGCTCGGGGCGATCCCCGCCCAGGGATCCCCGTTTGGGGCTCGCTGGGCCTGCCTCCGTTCCCTTGGCAACGAAGTACACAAGTGTGTGCCCTAACCGCGCTCACGATGTGCTTCAACAAAGCGGGTGAGAAGGGCTACAGAGGAGTCCAGAATAGAGGGCAGGCGAAGGGTGGGGAGCCTCAGAAAGATAAAGGAGGCGGAAGTACACTCCGACCCCTCCGCGGAGTTCTGTCTCGGTTTTGTAAGAGCGTAGTGGGCGCAGTCCTCTGCTCCACCTGCCCTTTCCCTGCCCTCGCGGAACGCAGAACTCATTCGCAGAGACAGAGCTGCCTACCCTCACCTATAGTTTTTCCTCTTTCATGATCTTTAGGAGCTGTGAATGTCTACTCCTTTGGAACACGTCAGCAGAGGAAGCTCTTTCCTCTATACCATCCTCCAAACCAACTGGGGAATTATTTTCTTCCTATTAGAGGATCGCCTCACACAGGGCCTGGGCATTACATACCAGAAGATGTGAGTATCAACCTCCCCTTAGACGGGTCTCATTTCCCTGGATATGGAAAGATACCAAAGTTTCCTGGAAGAAGAACTGCAGGATTTTTGAACTTCTGGGTCCCGACATGAGCAAATTCCCTGGTAGGCAGCCAGCTGCTGGAGTCAGTACAGAGACAACAGCTCCATCCTAGCCACCCTCACTAAACCAGAGAGCCCTATTTCCTATAAATCCCATCCCCACCTCCAAACGCCTGTCAGCCAACGCCAGTTCCCTCCCATCCATCCTATCCTCGGGATGACTGTTGTGTAAGAGCAAGTTCACTTTTGTGGAACTCACATTGTATTTGTAGAAATCCCATTTATTCTTTCTCTCCAGCTACATCCTTTTGCAAAAGTTACATGTGTTATTTATGTATTGTGTGCATGGTCTTGACCTTGAACTAGTCAAGACAAGAAAAAGCACAGCAGGTTCAAATGGAAACATTCTAAATTCACTCCATTTTGAAGGCTGTTCCCTGACTATGTTATTGGTGTTTTTCTTTTTACTTTGTTTTGTCTTTTTTTGATACCACTCAAACTAGTATGGCCTGGCACACCAGCTGTGTAAGATCCCAACCAGTACAAAAGGATATGCACTTGGAGCCAGAACAGCCGTGAGGTTTAAGCCACTCACTAAGGTAATGTACTGGGATTTAGGGTGATCTGGGTTGCTGCATGAAAAGCTTGCACATTAGTATTGCACATGTATATGTGAGTATACTGGGGAAAGCAGAAAAAAGTTTACTGAAGAAATGGTCCCAAGGGTCTCTGGTGCTGAGATGCCTAGTGTTAAAATACTGGAAGCTATGTTTATACACATCATATTATCTTGTTTAAAAATAAATTCCAACACTTCCATCCTTTTGCATGATTGGATTTCAAGTCTAATATTTAGCATAGAATCCTAATCTCCCCCTGCCCCACCACTGTCCTAGGGATTGAATCCAGAACCTTGTATACTAGGCAGATGCTTGACCACTGAGCTACATACCCAAGCCAAGGATCCTATCCCTTGTTGGATGCTTTCTGACATGTAAATTCAAGGGATACTGGCTCTGAAAATCTCTCATTGGGATAGTAGACATAGTGGTTGCCTTGATTCTACCCATCCTGGTTTATTTCTATAATCAGAGTGTTATATATCCTTAGACAGCCAAACAACATCCATATCTCGGTTTTCTACCTACTTCAGCCTATTTCTACGTCTTGAAATGTCCAATCCATAGCTAATTGCTTGAATAGGCAGAGGGTGTTGGTATTTTTTTTAATCTGGAACGCTATATATATATATATATATACTATTATATATTATATATAGTATAATATATAATATATATTATATATAATTGTATATTATATATAAAATTGTCTAATACATACTATATATAATTGTCTAATACATAATATATATAATTGTCTAATACATATATAATGTATTATATATAATACATACTATATATAATTGTCTAATACATATATATATAATTGTCTAATACACTGATCTTTTTCAATACACTGATCTTTTTCTTGGCAACAGGATGTGACACCTTGCCCAGGCAAGTACCAGAAAGTAAACACTTCAGAGGAAAAACACAAACAAAATTTTGCTCCATTTAATGTCTTGATACCTCGATCTGGAAATTATTCAAAGGACAGTTCTTCTCCTGGGTATGTCTCCTGTTTCCTGGTGTACTTCAGTAAAAGAAAGTACATACAGCAGAGATTACATCCAAACCATCCCAGCTAAATAAGAAACCATCCATCTTTAAAGACTTAACTTCTTGCTTCCCTGGTCTCTGGCATTTTGTACTGTAGACTCACAGTTATTCATTTAAAAACTATTTGGTAACGTACTAGATAGTTTTATAGGTTCCAGAAGTCATGTAGTAAACTCATCACATAAGGCTCCTGGTTTCTTGAAGTTTACACTCTAAAGCCCATACGGATGAGAAAATACTGATAGTAATAAATAAGAAACCTTATAATTTGTCAGTCAAACTGTGACAGTCCTGAGAGTGAAAGAGGCCTAGTAGTAATTAGATCAGGACAGTAGCCATAAGCTAATCACAGGCAAACAAGGAAGTATGGTAACCTGAATAGGCATTACAAAACAAATAAAACAGGATAATGATAAAATAGATTGATGAGTTGGAGGCTGTCCTCACCTGGGTTTTCAAGAAAGGACACTGAACAGGTGACACTTGATCTGAGACCTAAATGACAAGACTGAGCCAGTCCTGCAGAGAATTGGAAACAGAGCATCCCAAGTAGAAGGAAAAGTAAATGTAAAGGCCATAAGTTAGGAAGGAATTTAAATTGAAAAGGAAAGGGAGAAGGCTAACGTGGCTAGCATATAGTGATCAAGGAGGAAATGAGAAGTGAGAAGAAAGGCAGGCTAGTGTATATAGGACTTCTCAAAGACTTATTCTAAATGCTTCAGGAAATCATTTAGAGTCTATAAAATTGCAGGGCAAATGGTCATGGTCTTTCTTTTACTAATGAGAAATACAAAGATTGGAGAGTGCATGTAGCTTTTTCAACGATTGTATTAAGGAAGTTTAAATATTATGTCTTGAACTCTACTTTCATTCTGTTATTTTTCCTACAATAGAGTACAGCAAGAGACAAAATGTTACAGACAAAGGCAACTCTAAAACAATCTGTTATCAAGAAAATGTAATGATCTGTTTTGCTATCCCTGCATTACAGATAGATTTTTCTCTTCACTTTAATCACCAACTTCAAATTGTGAGCAGTACACTTACTACTGTTGTAGAAATCTTTTTTTTTTTTTTT